AAACTAAGTAACATGACTACAGCTTTGACTATTATAGATCACTATTAATTTGTATTTCTTAACTATACATTATATTTTTTTTGGTTTTAACGAGACAGGGTTTCTCTGTATTGTTTCAGAGGCTATCGGTCCAGCCCGGCCTCGAACTCACAGAGATCCGCCTGCCTCTGCCTCCCGAGTGCTGGGATTAAAGGCGTGTGCCACCACCGCCTGGCCTATATATTACATTTTTAAATGAGCTGAATAAACATAATACCTTAGACAAGAGTAGAAATATACTTGTAGTATAACAAATTGACCTTAAATTGTATCAATATACAAAAATCTTTTAAACAAGAATATAAAATATATACAGTGTAACAAAATTAACTTTAAATTTGTATCACTATACTAAATTCCATGCCAATGCAAAATATCTAAGATTAATAGTTGTCTTTTTTATACTATATGCCTATAGTCCCCCTAAATGATAACAAACATCTATAACCTCCCAAATAACCGAAGACCATCCACACCACCCATCTCTTGGGAATGTCTACATTGGCTTCAACTGCTTCCTGCTGTCTGTGGACAAAGTATCTTTAGGGTCCCTGAGAAAATTTAGAGCTATGGTTAAATCTTGGCTGCAATAGTCTGCAAGGCTTCCTCATCTCAGGCAGTTGCCTTGAAACTGTTGTGGATGTTAGACCACCTGGGCCATCACTGATTGGAGACCTCTCAGGGGATCTTACTTGATCAAACCATATTAGCCTGGAAGGAATCCACAGCTTCTCATCTTCTGTGGAAATAAAAGCAGAACTTCTGTTGCAAAGCAACATATTCTTAGACTTAAATTTTGAAGTCAAGATACCTTTAGAATAAATATATTGGTTTAACTTAGTAGCCCCCACAATCATATGTCTCTCAGCAGTTAGCTCATTTAGAGTCAAAAATTTCACAGAAGCCAGGCGGTGGTGGCGCAAGCCTTTAATCCCAGCACTCGGGAGGCAGAGGCAGGCGGATCTCTGTGAGTTCGAGGCTGGGCTGGACCGACAGCCTCAGAAACAATACAGAGAAACCCTGTCTCGTAAAAACCAAAACAAAAAAAAAAACCCAAAAAAATTTTCACTGAAAACACAAAAGTATACACAATCCATTCTTTCTGTCTATTTTCCATCTTTACGTATCTTATTTCTTTTATATTGCTTTTACTGTCTCTTTAAGGACTTTTTAAAAACTATTTCTTTCTATAACTGCCTATACTCTTTTCCCCTCTCTCCCAAACCTGTGTACACTTTTTAAACACACTGTGACCCATTTAGAGATCTGCCTTTGTTATGAATTTGCAAATTTTTTGATCACTGTTTTAAATTGTTAAACAGGCATGGCCAGGACCAGATCATCTGCTTTGGGTGTTGTTTCCACCATGATCAGCTTTTCAACATGGCAGAGATAGCAACAAGCATCACATTGACGCCCCTACCCCGGCTGATTTCAGGTAGCTTGCAGAAGGCCCACAAACTTTTCTTTTCTATATGAGAATAAACTAAACTCCTCATACTGCACAGCTGATTCGCCTCTCTGTACCAAGGCCTGTGTAAGACTGAAAATCTGACATACCGCTTAGCTCATGGTGGCTGATGGCCGGCTCCATCCTGCAGGCAGCTTTTGGGAGATGCATCTCTGGGGTGCTGCTGGCATGAGACTGTGCAACTAGGAAGCCCAATGCAGCTCCATTACTGTGCACTAAGAACTTTTTGTAAGTTTCTCAGGTCCTAGGGACATTCGAGAGTCCCATGTTGTGCGCCATTCGTAGCCAGAGCTTTGCTGTGTCTCGGGCTAATCCCACCACTGCTTATAAAATAATCAGAGGCTCAAAATTAATTACAATTGTTTGGTCGATGACTCAGGCTAGCTAGTTCATACATTTAAATTAACCAATTTCTATTCATCTATGTATTGGCACATGACTGTTGCATTACCTCATTTTCTACATGCCTTGCTTGCTTTGCAGCTGCTGGCATCTCCTCCCAACTCTGCCTTCTTTCTCCCCATATCTCTGCTTAGATTTCCTGTAGCCACAGGCCAAAGCAGTGAATATTCACCAACCAATAAAGCAACACATATTCTCAGTATACAGAAGGACCTCCGATGTCACAGAACCTCTCAAAAGCTGTCTGGAACCAGCTCCACTTCCCCCACCCTCTGCCCACACTGCCCTCTTCTCTGAATCCCAACTTTGTATCTCATAGTCCTTTTAAAATTACTTCTTCAATACCTTTCTGAAAAATCTAGCCTAGGCAGGCCTTGGTGGTGCATGTCTTTACTCCCAGCAGTGGGAGACAGATGCAGATGAATCTCTTAGTCCCAGGCCAGCCTGGGCTACATTGTGAGAGCCAGGAGAGCCAGGGTTATATAGAAACCATGTATCAAAAAACACAGTAACAAACAAACAAAATAGATAGGGCTGAGGGCATACGTTAGTGGTAGAGTGCTTACATAACTATTGTGAAGCCTTGGCTTCAATCACGTCTGAAAAGAAATAAATAGCTGAGAAATTTTTGAATAACTTCCATTTTGACCAGAAAAGCAGTACACTTAAGCTTGTATACAGAGATAGCTCAACAGTTAAGAGCTCTTGCTGCTCTTGTAGAAGACCCAAGTTCATTTATTAATGTATACATGGTGTTTATAACCATCCATAACTCCAGTTGCAGAGATCCAATACCATCTTCTGGTCTCTGCTGGCACCAGACACACATGCAGTGACCTTACATATATGTAGGCACATACTCATACACATAAAAATAAACAAATACTTTAATCAATATAACAATAATAACAACACAAACATTTTGAAGCTGAGGACTGCTGGTCATAGTGGTGTAGGATTATAATTCTAAGAGGTTTTCGCCTGACAAATAAACCACAGCCTGTCAACCCTTGGCTCACCTGAACTCTCCTCTTCCTTTCTCTCCCTGGAAATCCTGGCTATTCCTCATGCCTAGTTATTGGCCATTCAGCTTTTTATTACACCCATCATAGCAATACACCTTCACACAGTGTACAAATATCATGCAACAATATTCCTTTCTTTCTTCTTCTCTACTTTTAATATACAAACTTTGCATACAACATTGAATTTAATCACTGAATTCCCAGTGAAGATATTTATCTTATCTTTAGATGCTCAGAATAATTACCCTTCATCACACTGCTAGAAATCATTGCAATCAGCAACACAAAGCTAATTTCTAGCTTGATGTGAATTTCTGGTGTAATGCATCTACACAGGTATAGCCCTACTTTTATCCCACACCTTAGAGACTTATAACACACAGGTCACATGATATGGAGCGTTCCCAATTCCTGGAAACTTGAAAGAACCAGAAACTACCTTTGTGTTTCTAAACTGAAAGCGCTTTCCCTTCAGGTCCTCCTGATTCCTGTCCGTGGCTGCAAGGATGTGTCTCTCCTACTAAAGCCCTGCTGAAGGTTAATGTGTCCTTTCTCTCTAGTGAACCCGCATTGTCTCAGAAACAGCAGTGAAGACCAGTCATGCACATGCCAAGGAAGAGTAGTCTGGGCTAAAGAAACTGGGGGAATGTTGTAGGATTATTTATGGTGGACTCTCGAGATAGAACAGTGATTCTTCTTTCCCTTGCTGGCTTCCTCCCTTCCTCCCTTTTTCCATCTTCCTTCCTGATTCATCATATTGCTATGTAAGAGCCTCGAACTCTTCAATTTCTTGTTTCAGTCTTCTGAATGTTTAACTATATGTGTGACCAGCCGGGCGTTGGTGGCCCACGTCTTTAATCCCAGCACTCGGGAGGCAGAGGCAGGCGGATCTCTATGAGTTCGAGACCAGCCTGGACTACCAAGCGAGTTCCAGGGCAGCCTCCAAAGCCACAGAGAAACCCTGTCTCGAAAAACCAAAAAAAAAAAATTATATGTGTGACCACAATCCTAGCCAAAATGACATTTTATTTTTTAATTATTTAATTTAATTTTAATTTTATACACTTGCATACCTGTGTTGGGGGATTCCTGCCCAAGTCCCATTGGTGCTTTAGCACAGGATACTATATTAATTATGAAGCTGTTGGTTGTTTGTTATGGTTTCTAATCGGCTAGCTCTGACTTAATTATTAACCCATAATTACTAATATATATTTCTATAAGGACTTATCTTTTCAAGGATGCAGCCTCATGCATCCTCTTCCCACGATCACATGGTGATGACTCACCCTTGACTATATTTCCCAGAATGCCCTTAGACTCCTAGTCCCACCTATCTTGCTTCCCTATTGGTCAACAGTGTTTTATTAATACCAATCAAACATATACACAGAAGGACTTCCTCCATCATACCTGGTGCCCACAAAGGCCAGAGAAGGTGACTGACCAGTTTGAACTCAGTTATAGACAGTCATGAGCCTTTATGTAGGTGCTGAGAGTTAAGCATATTTTTATTTAATTCTGTGACTTAAGCAAAAACAGCCAGGGATCTTAAACAATAAGCCATTTCTCCAGCCCTGAAATTAATTTAAGTTTAAAATGATTTATTAAATATTGTTAAGGGTTTTATATGCCTGTGGGTGCAAGTTCCTGTGCAGGGCAGAAGAGAGAGTCAGAGCCCCTGAAGCTGGAATTTCAGGCAGTTGTGAGTCAACTGATGACAGTGCTGGGGCCTGAGCTCAAGTCCTGGAAAAGAACAGTGTGTGTCCTTAACTGCTAATCCATCTCTTAGACTCTAACCTTAATTTGAATTACATTTATTTATTTATTTAGTGTGTGTGTGTGTCTGTGTGTAGGTGTGTGTGTGTGTGTGTCTGTGTGTTCACACCCATGCTGTGTTTCCCTTCTCTATTTGTTTGTTCTGGAAGGTGATGCCTCAGAGTTATGAAAGAGCAGGATGTGGGTAGTTTCAATACTAACCACAAGGAAGGAAATGCCACCTGCCCCCATGTCTGTCCACAGAACCAGTCTCTTCTTGGCCAGGCCAGTTTTCTTTAGAACAGGGACTCACTATGTGGCCCTGGCCGGCCTGGACTCACAGAGATCTTCCTGCTTCTGCTGCCAAGTGTTGGGATTAAAGTTCTGTGCTACAATGACTGGTCAGTGCAGCATTTTACACAAAATGTTTAATGTGTATATACCATTTTATTTTCCTTTGTAAAGCATGGTGGCACATGCTCGTAATTCTAGCATTTGGAGATAGAGACAGGAAGACAGTCAGTTTGGTTTACATAGCTATTTCCATTCCAGCCAGGACTATATGATGAGATTCTATGATTAAAAATAAAAATACTGGAGTGGCTGTGGGGTGCTTGAGAGATGGTTCAGAAATTAAGACTACTAGCTGTTCTTAAAAAAAAATTGGATCAGAATGTTCCAAGGAGTCTGACACACTCTTCAGTCTTCCATGGGCATCAGGCATCCATATGGTACACAAATATACATTCAATCAGAACAACAATACACAGTAAATAAATAAGTATGTAAGTAAGTGAGTAAATAATTAAATACGTCAAATCCAACCACTGGCTGGGATAGCTTAGTCAGTAAGGTGCTTTCCCTGTAAATGTCAGGGCCTGGGTTTGATCCCCAGAACACAGGTGAAAAATTCAGACCGGTTGGTGATGGCTTGTAATACTAGCACTGGGCAGACAGAGACAGGCAGATCCCTGGGGGATCTCTGGACAGTTAGCATGGACTTTACTGATTGAGTGTCTCCCTAGACCTGAACCTGTCTTCCTTTTGAAGTTTTTATTACATTTAAAATTATTTGTTCATTTTATTGCACGTACATGCGTTTTGCCTGCATGTATATACATATGTACCCTATGTTCATGCTTGGTACCCAGGGAGGTCTGAAGAGAGCATTGGATCTCCTGGAACTGAACTTATAGATGACTCTGGGTCTTCTGGTAAACAAGTGAGTATGCTTAACCAGAGAACCATCTTTTTATTACATTTATTTATTTAGTTTGTATGTGTATGCACACGTGTGAGCATGTATGGTGGATATAAGTGGTCAGAGGACAACTCTGAGGAATCTGTTCTCTCTTCCCACCATCTGGGTACCAGGGATGGGACTTAGGCAATCAGGCTTGGTAGACAATAACCCATTATACTTATCTTCCTTACTTCCTTACTTCCTCCCTCCCTTTCTTTCTTTCCTTTTTCTTTGTTGTTTGTTTGTTTGGGATGGTTGGCTTTTATTTGGTTTGATTTTCCAGACTGGGTTTCTCTTTATAGCCCTGCTGTCCTAGAAGAGCTCTGTAGACATGGATGGCATTGAATCAGAGATTGGCCAGCCTCTTCCAGAGTGCAGAGATTAAAGGCATGTACTATCAATGTCTGGTCTTCTATTTTATCTATTTTTTCAGTTTTCATTTTTCTTGAGACAGGTTCCTCTGTCTCACTCACCTACCAGCGGGATTATCAGGAACTAGGGGAAAAATCACCCTCTGAAGGGTCTCCTGACACAAAAATATGGTTCCAGAACATCTCCTGGGACCCCAACCCATGACCTGTTAGCACATCTGCTAGGTCTTAAGCAGGCTTTACACATTATAGGCAGAGCTCCTCCAGCCAGAAACAGACATCAGATACAGAAATACAGAAACCAGATGCCTGGACAAATCAGACAGTTAACTGAAGTTGGGTACCGCAAGACTCAACAGAGAGTGGTAGTGGTAGGGCCTGGGGAAACACAGACAAGCCCCCAAATGTTGTGTCCCCCAGTGAAGATCCCCCAAAGACCACCAAGAAACCAGATCCGGTGCAAAAGCAAAGAGTCTTATTTTATTATTCCAGCATGCTGGGGCAGACCATCCTATGCAAAGGCAAGATGGCTATGACCCTGAGAAGGAGGTGGGGCTTCTTTTAAGCCTTACTTGGTGGAGTGTCTAAGGAAGTAAGGTCATTTTAGATATGACTGGCTTAAGCATGTGGCAGGCAAATTACTACACTCTAATTGGCTGGAGTTAGTCAGGGGCTGGTCAGGGCTACAGTTTTCCATTTGGGGGCAGGACTGGACAAGTCCCAGGCCCTGTTCTTGAGCTGCTGTGGAGGCTGGTTCAGGCCTGGCCTGGCCTAATCCTGCCTGTACCAGGCCTCCTCCTTGCTGTTGGGGGTGTTGGAGACTGATTGTCCTTTATTTGTGTCTTTTCCTCAGAAACTGCTTGTTCAGTCTCAGGAAATTGAAATTGTGGCCTGATATCTGAGAGAAGACTCAGCAGCCTGTATGACATCTGCTTAGTCCTGCCGATCATATTTATTTATTTATTTATTGTGTGTGTATGTGTCTGTGTCTGTGTGTGTGTTCACAGCCAAGCTGTTCTCTGCCCTTCTATGTTTGTTCTGGAGGTGATGCCTCTGTGTTATGAAAGAACAGGATGTAGACTTCATTTGAGGTGTGGGTTGATTGCAAAAACAAACCACAGGGAGGGAAATGCCACCTTCCCCCCATGCCTGTCCACAGAACCAGTCTCTTCTTGGCCAGGTCAGTTTTGTTTTCAGAAGGGACTCACTATCTATCCCTGGCTGGCCTGGACTCACAGAGATTTGCCTGCCTCTGCCTCCAGTGCTGGTTTTATTTAAAGTGTGTGCTACCATGACTGGTCCATGCAGCATTTTACATAAACTGTTGATGTGCAAGTTATCATTTTATTCTCCTTTGTAAAGTTGAGTTTCCATAGCAGGTATGGTAGCACATGCCTGTAATTCTACCATTGGGAGGCAGAGGCAGGAAGATTGCGAAAAGTTCTAGATCAGTTTAGTTGCATAGCTATTTCCATTCCAGCCAGGACTATGTAATGAGATTCTATGATTGAAAATAAAAATACTTAAGAGATGGTTCAGAAATTAAGACTACTAACTGTTCTTCCAAGAAAAACCTGACTCAACATTGTGGATCAGAGCTGCATTGTGGATCAGAATGTTCCAAGGGGTCTGACACACACTTCAGGCTTCCATGGGCATCAGGTACACAAATATACCTTCAGTCAGAACACGTAGTAACTATGTAAATGAGTACATTTAAGTAAATAAATAAATAAGCCAAATCCAACCACTGTCGGGGATAGCTCAGTCAGTAAGGTGCTTGCCTTGTGAGTGCCAGGACCTGAGTTTGAACCCAGAACCCAGGTGAGAATTCCAGGCAGGATGGTGAGTGCCTGTAATCTTAGCACTGGGCAGACAGAGACAGGGATCCCTAGGGATCTCTGGTCAGCCAGACTAGGCTACTTGGCAAGTTCCAGGCTAGTGAAAGACCCTGTCTCAAAGTATATGGATCCCTGAGGAATGACAACTAAGAACATACACATGCACAGCTAGACAGCTAGACAAACAAACAGACACACACACACACACACACACACACACAGTGTGAGTCTTACTATGTATGCTTGCTTTAAAATATAAATCAAACAGAAATGTATAATGTAAAAATTGAGCAGGATATAATGGCCCAGGCCTAATATCCAGCACTTTCAAGGCAGAGGCAGGAGCAGCAAGAGTTCAAGGTCATCCTCAGCTACACAGAGAGTTCCAGGACAACCTGGGCTGCATGAGAGAGACCCATCAGGTTTCTTTCTGATCCCTCTCACCTATTTTTGAGACAGTTTTCCATTAGCCCTGGAACTTGGTGATGCGGTCAGACTGCCTGGCCAGCAAGCCCCGGGGATCCCCTTGTCCTTAGTCCTCAGCACAGGGATCACAGGTGCACCTCCCTACACCTGTGGATGTGGGATCAGACTCAGGTTCTCACACTTGTGCAGCAAGCGTTTTACTGCCTGGGTGTCTCCCTGGCCCCAAGCCTATTTTCCATTTCATTGTTTTTTATTACATTTAAAAATATTTATTTAACAATTGTATGTATGTGCATTTTGCCTGCATGTATGTATTATATCATATGCTTGTTTGGGATCTGGAGAGGACTGAAGAGACCATTGGATCCACTGGAACTGGAGTTACCGATGGCTGTGGGTTCTGGCAGCCAAGGTTGTGTCTTCTTGGAAACCAGTGAGTATGCTTAACCAGTGAGCCATCTCTTAGTCTTACATTTTTACTATATTTCTGTTTATTTGTTTTATATGGTGATGCAGATGTGTGTGGGCATGTATGGTGGATGTATGTGATCAAAGCACAACCTTGAGGAGTTGGTTCTCTCCTCTGACCACCTGGGTAGCAGACATGGGACACTGGTAGTCAGAGCTCATATCAACCCTTTACCCTCTGACCATTGTGCTGACCTAAAGACTTCTTTCTTTCCTTCTTCCTTTCTTTCTCCCTTTTTTGTTTTGATTTGATTTTCCAGACAGTGTTTCTCTGTGTAGTCCTGCTATCCTAGAATTTGCTCTGTAGACCAGGTTAGCATCAAACTCAGAGATTACCAGCCTCTTCCTGAGTGCTGAGATTAAAGGCATGTACCACCAAAGTCTGACTTTTTTTTTACTTTTTTTTCTGGTTCTCATTTTACTTGAGACAGGTTCCACTGTGTAGTCCACGCCATACTGAGACTTGCAACGTAGACCAGTCTTACGGACTCACAGGGATCTACATGCCTCTGCCTCCTGAGTGCTGGGATTAAAGGTGTGAGCCATCCTGACATACCTTTATCATTTCCTCCTTTATAAAGACAGTATCTTAGAATCCCACTGTATGGTGTACACATTCTATATAATAGATACTTTTAAACATTTTCAGTATTTTTCAGGAAAAAATGAGCAGGTAATTGATACCTTGAGTCTAGAATAAAAACAAAACCACCTGCCCACATAACACACATGTACTAAAGACAGAACACAAGTGACAAGAGTCTCCTGCATAAACAAGATTGCAGCTTGAAGAAGAAGCCATGTTTCCACATCTCTCTGTTGCACTCAAGACACACCCTCCATGGCAGTGTGGATCTCTAATAAGTCGCCTTCCTACTTCTCTCCGTAGCTAAAGTTTCCTCCTCTGCAATTTCATCTTTACCCATTGGGATCCTAGCTTTCCTCAGGATCCAGAACAAACAGCCCCCTGCATGACCAGCCCTGGATGGAAACCAAGTCTCCTTCCCCAGTCCCAACACAAGGCAGAGCCCTGTCTTCCTTCCACACAGCCTCTTCTTCCATGAGGCACAGAGCTGAAGAGCTGCTGTCTCTGTGGACCTCACCTCATTTCTCACATGGGCACACACACTGAAATGAAATCTGTTTAGTGGTTAGGGCAGCTGCAGCCAATCCGGAAGTCCTGAGTGCAATCCCTGGAACCGAATTTAGAGAAGCCAGGAGGGGTGAGAAGTAAGGGTGTCTTTTGGAGGATGGGGTCCCTAGCTCTAACAGAGATGGTGATCCTCTCCTGGGGAGAAGGGTTGAGCACAGAGAAGATGAGGGAGTCCCAAAGACTCGTCCAGACAGAAGACACTCATCACCTCACAGGTCAGAGGATAGCCTCAGGTTGGATGTCTGACTGCTAGGGGAGAATGACTTTCATTATTTCTGGGGCCAGGCAGGGGAAGGGTGAGTGGGAGAAAGTAGGGGAGGTTCAGAGACAGGGAAAGATGAACTCAAGAACCAAGGGTTAGCCCTGGGTGACCTGCTGCTGCAAATGCTCCCTGGGTTGCAAGAGGATCTCCTGCTCCAAGTGCCTGTTCCAGGATTGAGAACCATGTTAGGGAAAAAAAGTCAGGAGACTGGACTCAAATGCAGGCGGGTTTATTTCAGAAAAACTAAGAAGAGCTCACACTAAGCAAGCATGTGTCTCTTACAGACTAGGAACCTTTTACCAAGTAGGAGGAGGAGAGGGGAAGCAGAGCTGTGTACTTAATCAAGTGCCTAGTTCTTCTTTCCTGATAAGGTTGCTCTTTTTGCAGTTAAGCTGTGTCTCAAGAGTTCAACATGGGGTGCAGAGTACAGCTGGGTTCACGATGCTTTGCACTCACAGTGGTTGGGACCAATCACAGGTTGAGATCACCTGAGACTCACTTCGTCACTCTGCAAGAGCAGTCAAGGGTTATTAGCTGCTGGGCCATCTCTCTAGACCACCTTCCAACTCCCAGCCCTCTTTTTTGCAGGACAGAGTCTCACTGTGTAGATCTAGCTGTCCTGGAACTCATTGTTTACACCAGGCTGTCCTCAAACTTAGAAATTTGATAACTTCTGATTCCCAAATCCACAGATTAAAGCATGCGTCACCACACACAGCTTCTCCAAACACTGTTCAACCCTGTTGATCAAATTCTTCCATCAAGATCTCCATGAAATACTATATTTCTAAACCCAAATTGGGTTCTTTGTTTTATTTTGTTTGAGCCACTGTTTTATGTGTCCCAGATTACCTTCAAATCCACTATGCAGCCAAGGCTGACCTTGAATTTTGGATCCTACTGCTTCCATCTCCTCGGGACTGGGATTAAAGACACAGTCAACCACACCCAGGCTAAATACTTCTATTTAATTGACAAGTATTTATGGTTCACATTATGGGACTTTGCTTTAAACTACTCTGCCCTTGGAGGGTATGGGGAGATATGGGATAAGACTGAGTGTGAATGAGGGTGCCATGTCCCATGTATGGAGAGCAGAGACAACATTTTAGAGTTGATCTCTACTTCCCCCTTGGATCTGACAGTCTACGCCAGCTGGTCAGGGTTCCCTGGCTACCACTTTTAATCATCTGAACCATCTTACCAGACCAAAGTTGCCCACTGTTAATGAGGGATGAAAGTAGGACCAGAGATATTCATTCACTCTATTAATCTCTGTTTTGTATATATTTACTATTTTCCCATAACAAATCTTAAAGTGAACAAGACTAATATATGTACTGTGCATATAATATATGTTAGGGTAAATATCCATTTCTGAATTCATTCAACCCTGCCAACATCTTGAACTTCAGACAAGTATTTTCAGGGGCCTCAAATACAGCTTTATTGTTTGTCAATCAAACTGTGCTTATAAATGAAAAATGCATCCTATCTCTTCACACCACAGTCAAACTGCCTGCCTAAATACACAGAGAGACAGAGACAGAGACAGAGACAGAGAGATACAGAGAGAGACAGAAAGAGGCAGAAAGAGACAGAGAGAGAGAGAGAGAGAGAGAGAGAGAGAGAGATCCTCTTTTCCTCCCCAGTGGCTCCCTGTGTCTGAAATGTCCATACTATTCATCCAGTTGCTCAAACTGATAACTTGGGGACATCCTTGACAGCTCTCTATGGAGATGGTACAGCAGGTAAAGGCAGCTGCTACCAAGACTGATGACCTGAGTTCTGTCCCTGAGAACCATATTGAAGAAAGATAGAATTAACTTCTTTAAACTGTCTCTGCCTTCACAAGCACACCATGGCACTCGTGTGACCACACAATACATAATAACGTAATGGAAATAATATAAGGGGCTGGAGAGATGACTTAGCAGTTGAGTGTGCTCTGCTTTTCCAGAGGACCCAACTTAGGATCCCAACATCCACATCAGTTGCTTCACAGATGCCTGTAGTCCAGCATCAGAGGATCTGACTTAGTGTACAAATCAAACTACTAAGTTTTTATTTAAATGAGTGTATGCAGGGTGTGATGGCACATGCTTATAATCCAGTACTCAGAAGGCTGAGGCAGGAGTGTTGTGAGAGTTTGAGGCCAGCCTGAGATGCACAGCAAGATGCCATCTCAAAAGGAAAACAGGAATAAAGGTTTCAGGTGATATTGGCTAGAAAAAGAAACAATGGGAATAGAAAAGTGAAAGTTGGGGCTGGAGGGAAGGCTCAGCACTTGAGAGCTGAGGTTCTTAAGATAGTTGTCAGTTCGATTCCCAGCACTGGCAGCTCACAACTATCTCTAACTCCACTTCCAGAGAATCAGAAATTCTCTTAGACATGCATGCAGGAAAAATACCCATACACATAAGAAAATAAAAGCTAACTTTTTAAAAGTAGAAGTTACCTGAATGTTCATCTGCCATAAAGCAAGATGATATTTGTCATGAGTGGTATTGGGCATCTCTTGAGCAATTCCTTCCTGAAGAAATCAAAGGTGGCTCTCAGTTTTGAAGGTCAGGTTGGAATGTATCAAAAGTCACTTCATGGATTAAGCTATTTAGTACACCATGGATCCCCAAACCACAGAGTTACAGGATCTTCCTCCCCTAAGGAAGGACACAAATGCAAATCTTCACAGAACGTGAATGACAAGAGGCTGGGGAGATGGCTCGGTCAGTGAAGTGCTGGTCACAACAGTGTGAGCATCTGAGCCTGGATTGCATGTTCCCCTTAGAACAGAAAGAAACCCAGCGAGCAGTAATCTGGTAATGTCAGTAATGTCAGCACTGGGAAGGTAGAGACAGCAGGGTCTCTGGGGCTTGCCATTCAAGCATAATAGCAAGCTCCATGTTAAGTGAGACACCTTTTCTTATCCTTTTCTTCCTCCTCCTCCTCCTCCTCCTCCTCATCATCATCATCATCATCACCGTCAGTAGCAGCATCTTGTTACTCAGAATCCACACACTAAATAAATAAATATAGTTTAAATTTTTCAACTAGTGGACTGGAGTGATGACTGAGAGTTTGAGTGTTTGCACCCTTGCAGACGACTCAAGTTCAGTTCCTAGCAAACACATATGTAGCTCACGTCACCTGGAACTCCAGCTTAAGGTGATCTGATGCCCTCCTCTGACCTCTGTGAGCCCTGCACTCACATGTGCCCATGCCCACCGCTAGCACCCCACATACACACATAATTAATAAAAAATTAAAACTTTGCAAATTAACATTTTAAATAAGGGAACGAGTGAGGAAACCACCTAACACTGAACTCTGACCTCCACACTCATGCTCACACACATGCACTTACACAGAGGAACACATTCACACACACAGATAGACAGACACATCAACACACACACACACACACCTACGCGCATGCACACACGCAGAAAATAAATTAAGTCCCACAAAGCTTCTCATAGGGACATCCTTAGGATAACTTCTTTTCTTTGCTGTGGGAGGATCCAAATCATTACAGTCAATTCATTTTAATAGAAGAAATTTCAATACCATTGTAAGTGCTGCGTGGAACAGAAGAATACTTACAGCATCTGGAGTCTCTTGGAGAATGAACCAGCAGTGTTGACTTGCTGAAATTTTGCAAAATCATTAGTAAGAATCTCACACTCTTGGGCACTGACATTCAGGATATTGTTCTCCACATCCTAAAACAGGAGCAGTGAGAAATCAATGGCTGGGACTGTTGGTAACTGGCATCTTTTCTAAGAGGGGAACTGACTTAAATTTCAAGGAAGTTTGAACGAGAATGTCCCCCATCGGCTCAGATATTTAAACACATGTCCCCAGTTCGTGAGCTGTTTGGGGATGATGTGGGGAGGTGCAGCCTGCTGTAGGAAGTACATCACTGGGGTGGGACTTAGGGGCTCACACCCTCGCCTCACTTCCAGGTTGCCCCCACTGCTTCCTGTTTGCAGTTGGAGCTGTGTTCTCTCGTCTTCCTTATCCTGCTGCCACGCCTTTCTGCCATGATGAACTCTTATCCCTTGGGAACCATAGGCCCATATGAACTCTACCTAAGTTGCTTTTCATCATGGTGTTTTTATCACAGCAACAGAAAAATGGCTTGTACAGGGTGAGACCCTCCCATCTCCATTAGAGCTCATCTGCATGAGGGCACAAGCATGCAATGCCAACACTCAGTGAGCTGGGACAAGAAGATCAAGTTCCAAGCCAGCCTGGGCTACATAGCAAATCATACCTCCCCTCCAAGAAAATAAAACAAAACCAGTGGGGATATGGATTGCAAGGTTAAGCATTCAAATAGAACTATCAAACCCCTCAGCAAGCCTCTCAGGAAATGAGCTGCCATCTTACCTCCATCCTGTAAATTCCAGCTATTTCCTTTTGAACAATCATTTCAAAGTCATCTATGTTTAAGAGGTCTCCTAACAAACAAAAACAATGAGGGAAATCATGATTGAAAACATCACTTTTAACAGATTTATTTGTGCATATGGGTGGTTTTCCTACACACATGTCAGGGTATGCCTTGGGTACATTAACCACAGAGGGCCAGAAGAGGACCTCATGTCCTCTTCAGCTGGAGTTACGACCAGTTGTCAGCTGCCATGTGTTTTCCGGAAACTGAACCCAGGTCCTCCAGTGCTCTTAAGCCTCATGCACATAGCATATAAATAAATAAAACTCAAAAACATCAAAACAAAATAAAAAAAGGAAAGGAGAAATGGTGTAAAGACTTGTCTCCTAGAGGATTGAAAATGACTACCACACCATTAGTCTTTAATGAAATGGAAGCTGCAACAACAAAGTTCTGATTCCCACTCAGATTTCGATGACATGGAAAGACAGCAACGACACAACCCCTGTGGAAAAGTATAGCAGTGCCTAAAAAGTAACTAAGCTTGTAATTATCAAATGTCCCAGCAATTGCACTCCTACCGTTATACTCAAGAAAAATGTAAACACACATCCAGATAAAACCTCACACAAATGTTTACAGGAGTATTCTTGGTAATAGAAAAAGAAAAATTGTCCATTACGGGATGAATAACCTGTGGTATAGTCACACAATGGAATACTATTCACCCATGAATAGGAACGAAGGACTAAAGCATGCTACAACCTCTATGAACCCCAAAGCACATTCCATAAAATAACCCCACACAAAACACAAATTAACTAATCATTCACCTGTTCTGTCCAGAAAAGAAACCCCAGGGCATAGAGAATTGGCAGGGGTTATCAGGAGTGAGAGGAGGGGAAGGAAACGATGACTTAACCCATGATAATGAAAGCACCCATGTAACTGGGTGCTGAGAGCTCTGAAACCAGAGGGAAGTTGTGTTTGCCTCAGCTGGAGAACAGGCTCCACTGACAATGAATTGTGCACTGAAAACGGTGAAGCTGATGTCACCTCAGCAGAAACAGATAAAAGAACACTCGCTGCATAGCTCTCCCTATCATCTGCTAACATCTGCAGGCCGTATGCGGCTGAAGGAGCCCTGCTAATAGAGTGCTTGCCCAGCATGCACCGGGTCCCAGACAGGACCCCAGGACTGTATAAACTGACTGACTGTATAAACTGACTGTAAAAACTGGGTAAGGGGAACACACATATGGTCCCAGCACTTGGAGGCAGAGGGAGGAGGATTAGAAATTCAAGGTTATTCTCGGCTACTTAGCACATTAATAAAAACAACAAAGGGAGGTCAGGTGTGGTGACACAAATCTGTAATCTTATCACTCAGAAGACTGAAGCAGGAGGATTGCCAGGACCAGGATGAGGCACATGAAGTGCCTGAGGTGATCAAACAAAGACTAAAACTGAAAACCAACCCCCTGCTCCTCAGATCCTAACAGAGTGACCTGTGTGCTTCACAAACAGAGCTTAAAGAGCCTGCACCCCACATGAACAAAGGAGTCACTGCTTGACAGCTAGTGAGCTGCCCCCTTGTCTGCTCAAACAACTACACAGAGGGCAAAATGAAATGAGGATGGGTAACTGTTCTTAACTGAGGTGAAACTGCCCACTCCTGCTGGTGTGCATTTCTGCTCATTAGGAATCAGTCAGCCATCAGTACTCTGATGACACTGCTTTTAATCCCTGCACTCAGGAGTCAGAGGCAGCTGGATCTCTGTGAGTTCAAGGCCAACCTGATTTACAGAGTGAGTCCCAGGACAGCCAGAGCTACATAGAGGGACTCTGCCTCAAAACAAAGATCCAGCCTGCTGTGTTTCTGTCCACACTGTCTATTCTGCAGTAAACTCTGATGTCAGTTCTGCTCTGGTGATTCTTTTATACCTGCACCACAAGCATTCCAGGACAACGCAGCTTTGCTCAGTGACAGCTCGAATAGATAGATGGACATGGCAGCATCTATCTCATGTCCTATGTGAACCTGACCTGGTGCTGAAACAGCCCTGCAAGAGTTGTCCCTGTTCACTGACTCTAATTCATCTCTGTGGTTTTCTTTATCCCAGTCCAAAAAGTTGAGCCCCTAACTGCTTCTGTCAAGATGGACACAGGTCTTCACGTGGCTAATCCAGCAATCAGTTTCCAGGCTGCTCCTGATGGGCCTGTCTACCTGTGGTCCATTGACCTGCTGTCTTCCTTTTTCTTGTTGGTAGTGTTGGGCTTTTTGTTATTTGTTTGTTAGTTCTGCCGTGGGGTATCACTCCAGACTGTGCAGGAACTCACTAGAATCTCTAGATAACCCACCCTGGCCTTCAACTTGCAGTCATTTACCTTCCTAGGTCTCTCCAGTCCTGGGGCTGCAGGTGTCAGCCATCACTCTTGGCTTGTTCCTTCTTCAGAGAGCATTTTCTTCACTGGCTTTCAGGGCACTGAACTTTCCTGACCTCCCCTCACCCCTCAGTATAATTCCTCTTGTCTCTCTCTTGGACTGTTTCCTTTTTGTTAACTCCATGTGCAGAAGCTAAGGTGGCCCCACTCCTGGCACATTCACTCCTGGGGTGATCTTACCTCATGATGGGACTTTAAATTCAAGCCTGGGTCAATGACTCTGAACTAAAGTGCCCATCCTTGAAAACACCCCTGTAACACCTGTCAGGTCCGTGGAAAGGGCATCAGATTCACTAACCCAAAAATGGGTGTGTCATCACATGCCTGTCATCCCAGAACCCCAGGGTGGGACAGGGGATCCTGATTCACAGTCAGCCTGGACCTCACAGTGAGCTTTTCAGAAAAACTGCCCAGACCTAAAAAAAAAAGTGAGGTGGACATAGTGGTACACTTTTTGCAACAACACAACTTGGGAAGTAGAAGGAGGATCAGGAGTTCAAGGTTACCTTTGGGTCCCTAGACTTGAGGATCCCAAAAACCTAGGACTCAGAAGGTGGAGGCAAGAGAATCTTTAGAGAATTGAGGCTAGCCTGAAATACACAGTGAGTTCTAAGAGAACCTTTACTAAATAGTGAGACCCTGTCTTAATACTGAAACAGGGCCAGGCGGTGGTGACACACTCCTTTAATCCCAGCACTTGGAGGCAGAGACAGGCAATCTCGGTGAGACCAAATATGAATGAATAATAGATAGATAGATAGATAGATAGATAGATAGATAGATAGAATAGAATAGAAAGAAAAAAGAAAAATGTTACCCTTGGCTGCATATCAAATTAAGGACAGCCCTAGCTACATGAGACATTGTCTTCAAATATCATATTAGCAAGGTGTAGTAACACATGAGTGTATCCCAGCATTTGGAAGGCTGAGGTAAAAGGACAGGAGATCAGGGGTATCTTTGGCTACATAGATAACTCCAGGTAACCATGGACCATATGGGATTAAAGAAGGAGACAGACACACAGTGGGTAAAGATGCCTGCTGCCAAACACAATGACTTGAGTTCCATCCCTGGGACCCATGTGGGAGAAGAAGAGAACTAACTCCCAAACATTGTCCTCAGATCTCCACATGTGCTGACCAGTGTGCTTGAGCACATGAACACGCACGCACACGCGCGCACACACACACACACACACAGGCAAAATGAAAGAAAAAGAAAACAAATTTAGAAGCCAAAACTAACGAAAAAACTACAATAAAGACCCTTAAATTAAATGAGACCAAAAGAAAATCCGATTTTAGTTTGTCGGTGACAGGTCTGGCTCTGTGAGTTACCTTGGCCTCAAACAGAGGATCCTCCTGCTACAGCCACTGAAGAGCTGGGCTCTTATCTTGGTCCACTTTGGCTTAAAAGAATAATCTTTCTGCCTCTGCTTTCCTCCCTCTCTCCCTCCCAATCCCCCAACACACAAGGCAACATAAACCCTAGCAGTGCACAGCTCTTCCAGAGTGCTCACCAGAGGCACCTGGATCCCTAGCTTCCAGTGCAGAGCAGTCCCCAAACCCCAATAACTTGGAAAATCCGCTGCTACAAAATCACTGCCCTTGACCCTTCCAGCTGTGGCTTTGCATGTGTGAACCCAGATGGGGAAAGGAAGAGGACTGCCCGACCTGTGCCTATTTGCTTCTCACTCACCATTGCCACCATTGTACCAGGACATCGCACCACCTATTGGCCGAGATTCTGTCTGGTGGACCAGAATCCCCAGCTCCCAGGATAGAAGACAGACAGACAGGAGCCACCAGGAACCACGCAACACCATCTTATCTTAGTGACACCAACAAATGCTTGAGTTCCTGGATGGCAATCAATGTGGCTGCAGCAAACAAGGTAACCACTCCCATTGCCTGAGCAATCCCTGCCCAAAACCATTGCTAGCACAAACCTTCTCAGCATTCACCACAGACCAGAAGCCGCTCCCATTTTATATGTAAGGACGTGGAGGTGACAATTTTAGTGTCCTCGAGGCAGTGGACTGTGCCTCCTCTCTCTGCTGTCTCCTAGCTGTTTGTTCTTTGACAACTGTACAACTTGCATGGAATGATCATTGCTCCTGTTTAATTTGTACACCTCCAAATAGAAGAACTAAAATTTTGCCATCTGACCCCATGACCCTTTCATCCAAAATAGTCCTTGCCATCAGGGCTGCTGCATTGGCATCAATTGGAAAAAAACCTTATAAAGAGCCCCTGGCACTGCACTCCAGACAATCATGTGTGCCTTATTTCCCTGTACACCTAAAAAACTAAGTCTCACATATCCCAGAAACATCAAAGGAACAAGAGGTGA